GTCCGCGCTTGCAGACTCAGCCCTGAGAATGTCACCTCCCTGCATCTGCAGGCAGGCACTTTGAGGCGCTCACAGGCCAGCTGTCGGTGGGCACCAGCAGGCTCAGCCGGGAGAGCAGGGCTGTACCCTCCCTCCCCTGGCTCTGGTGTTTAATCAAAACAGTATTCAAAATATGATTCTGGGAGATTATATGGGGAGCTTTGCAGGAGGCTCTTGGTGAAGGCAGAGGGGGTGGGAACAGATTGCTGCTGGGATAATCAGAAGCTCAGATGGGCCATTCCCAGGCCCCTCCCCCACTTCCCCCCCCCAATGGAGATCTAGCCCATCTCTATATTCAACAGCAGGGGAGACCCAGAGAGGGGATGGGGCTGGTCCTTGGGGTGGAGAGCCACTTTCTGGGATCCCAGGCTACCCTTTGGCTCTTCTCACACCCCACTGTCTCCAGGCAACCAGGCCCAGGTCTTGGGGACAGTCTTGGCTGCAGGCTCCTGCTATGGGTTGGGGGAGGCTGCTATGATTTGGAGGGTGCAGGTGAGGCCAGGCTTCCCAGACAAGAGATGGAGACACCCTCCTGAGGTCCTGGAGGTGAGGCCCGACGGCTCAGGTGGGCTTTCTTCCCCAAGGCTCACTGTTCCTTGCCTTCTCTGGGGCCTTCACTTTCCCCATCTGCTGCCAGTGCTGACTCAGGGTGGTACTGAGGGGCCTCTCTGGCCACAGAATGGCTAGCTGGAGCCCCACACCCAACGGGACCCCAGGAACAAGCCGGGGGGGGGGGTGTCTACATAGTCCCTAAGGAGGAGGCGTGGTTGAGAGCGCCTTGAAAGAAACCTCTAGCTAATGCTCTTTATTACAAGCCTTAATCCTGCAAAGCCGACTGGAAATAATGTTTATCTTTTCGCAGTTTAATTTTCCGGACCCTAAGCCACGGGTCAGTGAGGGTGGCTGGAGGGTCCCCCGGGAGCTGGGGCAGGCGCATCTGTGTCCAGAAGCAGAAGGAATGCGGGGGGGGGGGGGGGGGGGGCGCGGTGGGTAGTGTGTGTGTGTGTGTGTGTGTGTGTGTGTGTGTGTGTGTGTGTGTGTTGAGGGGGGAGGGGAGGAGGAACCAAAAAGGACCCTGAGTGGAATGTTGGGGTCCCTCTGAGCACAGACTCTGTGACCCTGAGCCAGTCCCTTGCCCTCCCATTTGGCCTCTGTTTCCTCATCTGAGAAAGGGCTTTGTATTTTTGTGGGTCATGGTCTTTAAGGAAGATTTTGCACTTGGCTTTGAACAGTGGCTGGACACAGGTGAGGAAGTGGAGATCCTCAGAGTGGAAGGGGGAGAAACAGTCTCCTCCTGGATGAAAAAAGAGTGGGGCTTCCACATGGCTCCCAGGAGCTGGTGTCATGATGTGTTCCAACATAGAGAAGAAATAAATCACTCCCTGGGCTGTCTTTATCTAAGATATTTGTTAGGGAAGGATTAATTGAATCTTTTTATATATACCTGTATATACATCATTGAAAAATCCGCATTATTAACCAGCATATATTATGAAAAAATCCGTATTATTAACTGGTGCACCTGGTAAATATTTCATTGAAAAATCCACATTATTAACCGGTGCACCTGCTAACAGTCGTACCGGCTAATAATGCGGATTTTCTCGTAAATATTTACCGGTTAGTAATTTGGGTCCCTCTTCCTGGCTTGCAGATGGCCACCTTCTTGATGAAACAGGAATTTGGGGGGTAAAATAAGGAAATTTTTAGGAATTTTTAGAAATTTTGGAAATGAAGGGGACCATGGAGGAAGCACAGGGCTGCAGAGCAGGAGGTGTATTTCCATACAATAGGGAAGCTAAAAAGCTGCAACAGGTACATTTCCATAGAATGAGGGAGCTGGGAACAGCAAAAGGTCTATAGTTACAAAATAAAGAGAAGGAAGCCCTTTATCCAGAAGGAGAAGAAAGCCCAAGGGGACTAGGAAAACAATGAGTAAATGAGAGGGGAGAACTTCACAAGTCAAGGTGAAGTTCGACCTTTGAGCCTAGAGTTACTATAGTAACCAGTCTGGGGAAATAGTGACCAATCAGAGGGGATATCAAGGCACCAGGCTCATGGGAACCCCCAAATTTATAGCCCTTCGGTCAGAAGTTCAGGTGTTGTGAGGAGCCCTCAAAATTGTGGCTGGTGCAATCAATGATCCTCTCTCATCATTGATGTTTCTGTCTCTCCCTCTCCCTTCATCTCTGAAATCAATAAAAAAAATATTTTTAAAAACTTGTGGCTGGTGTCTGAAGTGAGGGCAGTCTTACTGGGGACAGTGCTCTGACCCTGTAGAGCCTGCACTAACTCCAGGTCCTGTCCCATAGCATTGGGGTCCAATTGTAGGGCTAAGATCTGTGAGTGCCGGAGTTGGACTTCATTTGGTTGGTGGCTGGAAGTCATAAAAAGTTTATGTCTGAGAAGATGACTGGTAGGATTAATAACTGGGGTTCTGGGAAAAATAATCTGGCAAGAGACGGATAGTGGGCAGAATTTTCCCTGAGTCCCAGGCCCCCTGGGTCACACAGTCTCAATTTTGACGTGGGATGCTGGTCACCAAAGATATTTCCTTTTCAAAAAATAAAGAGCAGCGATAAAGCAGGCTGCATAGATTTTCAGTCGAAAGTGTGTGCAAATCAGAGTTCATGCTTGTGTTAATATGTATTAATTATTGTATTACTTTTTCATGCGACCAGCTGTTGTTATATTGTCAGTACGCTTCACTGGAAAACTACTGTTGCCCCACCCTGTACCTCGGTGGGGTTGGAGCCACCCCAAGCTAGGCCAGCCAGGTAGCTGCACAAATGCTCTCTCCTGGGAGCAGAAGGTCAGCTGTTTCTTCCGCCTTCACCCTCTGCAGACACTGAAATTCATGTAGGAGGCCTGGATGCACACCTAGCCCAAGGCTTCTCTTTAAAGCACAAGGGGTGTGGCAGCAAGATCAGGGCACAGCTGCCCTGACTCCCATCATGGAAGGAAGACG